GATTAGGATGTTGTTATTACACTTTAAGAGACTTTAAATGAATACAGAAGAAAATAATATGAAAAATATCACCAGATATTTAGTATGCAAAGGAAATGGAAGTTTTCTTAGCGAAGTCTTTTTGATTCCCCAGGTAGTACAAAACAAACAGATAAACTGCTATTGTAATATCAAAAGACGCTGTCACTTTCGACTGTCGATCTAAGATTCTCTACATGTATTAGTTGAATGATGGTGAGAATACTGTCTGTAACTTGCTAATAAATCTTCAGAAATCGCAAGTTTGTGCCAGATTGGAGACTCAAGTACGTAAATCAATGGAATTTCTCCATTTAAGTGGGATTTATAGCAAAGATGTAACATGACGCTATTTTATAGACTTTGACGTTATAATCCGTGCGCCGTAGGGCGATAAAATACAATGTACATGACATACAAGGGGTGATCAAAAAGTTCGCAAACTAATTGAATAACTTCCATACAAAAAACAATATTTGGTTTTAATGTTGATTATATTTTAAATTAATCCTCCCCGATTTTAATGCACATCAAAATCATGCGCGAATCACTTGATATTGGCGGTCACGTGACTCCCTCCGTAGCGTTCTGTCACAAAAGTTAAAAGATTTTCCCGAGTTTTATATTTCTTTCCATGTGAGTTAATTTTTATGACAAGAACAGTTAATTTGTCAGAAATGGTCATATCTCGGCAACAGAATGGGTGGATAATAACATCCTTTCCAAAAATAAGCATGGCGACCATTAAAAACCAAATCTTCTGTCTCAGGAGAGACCTTTATTCAAGGTGGATAGAGAATGGGTGCATCCTTTTTATCATATCTAATATGTTTAAAATCTAAAGTAAACGATATCTTAGGTCTTTGATACTTATATCATTGTTCAAATATTCAACTATTTTTCAAAGTGTTAATTGGAGGTCTTTGATAGCAAATTGCTTAATTAAAAATACATATCTTTTCAAACTTGCTTTCACTGGGCAAGATGACAAGTATCATTTTTAACCATCAGCCTTCCTTCACTAAAACGATTAATCCAATCATTACTTGAATTTATAGGAAATCATTTATCTCAATAAACTGTGTACAAATTATTATATGATACTGTAGAGGGATTTCTAAGATATTACAATAGATTGTACGGTCGTTTGTTGAACGAGTTCGACTGAGGCAACCATTTTTCGTCACAAGTGACCTAAATAGTGACGTCATTTTCACATTGTGACGTCAGAAACAAGGAGAGAAACTTTATTCAGCATATGCTATTTATAGACCTTGTGTATGGCTATGTGTGTACCGAATTTCATTCTAATCTGAATTGTGGTTTCGTAGATATAGAGATAGTTTGAGAACTTTTTGATCACCCCTCGTAAAATCTCACAATTTGTTTATTTATGCATATATCTATTTGAAATTTGCTCTGAATATTTTAATATATATGTTAAAGAGTAGTGAAAATTTCAGAACACAGTGATGATTATTTTTCAAACTAGACATATTGTCCACAATTTTACCGGACAACCCTCGTATAAACTCCGCATGCAGGTGATGAATGTATATTGCTGCATAAGTAAAGGAAGTTCACGATAGGAAAGTTAAAGTCAACACGTTTATCATAGAGCTTGGTTGTTAGATTACCATTAACGTCCTTTTAAAGTAAAATATCCAAATATAAAACAGATGCGATAGACTCTGTGGTACCTTTTTATCCCACTACAACTGTCAACTTCACAGTACTTGTGTTTACAATCAGTATATAAGTACTAATATATCTGAGTATTTGGCCCGAATCTTTTAAAACTATTACCCTTGTCAATTGCTTTAAAATGTTTGATGTCTAAGTACCAGATGCAGACGTATGTATTGAGACATAAAAGTCATTTCTCTGTTTGAAAATATTTTCTTTTATTGCAGCTTAACCTTGATAACCTTTTTAAATGTAATTCAGAAACATTAACCATTGTCATAAGCACCTTCGACCGGGAATTAGTTCAACATATTCAATTTATACCTTTGCTTTCTGTTAAAAAAATATTTTTTTCATGGATAAAAAACTTTAGTAACTTATAATTACTATTTGTAATAAATCAGTCCCAAAGTAAATATAAGTAATAATAAGTATGATGATACCTTATTTCTTTAATACAAATTACATAATGCCGTCATTCTCGTGACTTTATATAGGTGTTATTATGACATTAAACAAAATATGCTTGTGACGTTATAATAATCAAAATTGAAAAAGGCGCAGAGATAAATTAAAGATTTACAGTTCATCTGATAAAATTTTATCGCCTTTTATTTACGTACTGTAATGGAGACAGTCTATGTAAATTGTACATAATAAAATAATTCGATATAAACTTATTTCAACAGTTACGTTTTGAAAAATTATTCCTTTTCTTAAATTACTTTGAATAAGAAAATAAATGAAAATTCCCTTTGCCACAGGATTCGAAGTGCTCACTACATAGCGTGTTTCGTATGGTCGGGTCCTTTATCTGTTGCTCATGTATGCGAACACGGTCCGTTAATTTGGCTCCTGTGTGCAATATTTTTACTAGGGTCTCCTAGTTAACAATTTATAAGTTTTTCTTTGGTTGTTATTCAATATCATAGAGGTCAAAGCAATATATTAGAATATTAACAATAAATGCATATCTTAGGACGAAATGTGGACTTTTATATGGAAATCTTTTATGTGAATTAAATAAGAAAAGACTTTTTCTTGGGTAATTAATGCTGTTCAGTTAATTAAGTCTAAAAACTGTTTGAAGAAATATTTTTGTGATTGTTTACATTCTCTTAATAAGTACTCCTAAAATGAACGAAAATGTGTAGTCGCAGTATATCATAACAATTCCAAGTTTCACAGGCTACACTCCATTTAATAACAAGTAAACATGCCATGAGCTTTTGACTGATTGATAAGCAGATGCTAATTTATCAAATGGAAAACTTTAAGAATGTTGTGACAAAGACTTTACTGACACAGAATCTACCTTAAATGAAAAAACAAAACTTTTACATAATTTTAGCCAAACCTTTTCTTTATTTCAATAACCATAATCCCATACAGCTATTAATGACATCTGTAAATTATCAAAGTACCCGTTATCGCCATTGGCTGTGTGCTCGATTATATTGTTACTGTAATTACCGTAGCCAAATTGCCTAACACACAGCTGTAATCACCTATCTTGGTCCTTTTTTGATAGAAATAATACTTTGTTTTTAATGAACACCGTTTTAACGGTATATCAAGTAAATAATATACGTCTGTCGATCCTGACAAATTGCGTCTTTTTCTTTAAAAAAATAGTTTTTTTCTATTTTTTTTCTCTAATAGTTACAAAATTGCATTACTGATTACAACCCCCCTTAATAAGAGCTGTGTACTTACCATTTGAATTAATTGGAATACTTTAATTAATTTAAAAAAAAAGACATTGATAGATAAATGAACAACAAGAAAATAATTTCGTTTGGCTTGATATTTGTTACAGCATTAAAAAGTGATTAAAAAAAATCAATGATGGGGTTCATCAGGGCTTTACTAGTCTCAATAAAATTACAGTCTTATTTGGGTACTCGATCAGAAAAAAATATCCATGTATATGTATATATGACTTCGCCAGAGTACACCTGACAGAAGGGGCGCATTTTCCAGCGCTCTGGATTTCTTTTTCTGCGAGTCTGATCAGAAACTTCAAATTCAACATTTCACACTGCAAATATTTAGTGTTAGTAGTTATGCTTGTTGTTTTCTCTACTTTTTTCCTTTGTTTGTATGACTTCTAAACTTTTTTCTTTGTCCTAGGGATATGGACAGGTCGTTCCGAACATTCGACAATTTATAGTCATGTCATGGGTCATTTTTAGTGCTTTATATAAATGTCCATCCATGATCTAAAACCTTGCATCTACTTAGTACATCTTTTTTAGGATATACAGTGTTGTTGGTTTTTAGTGCTATATTTAGGGAATCGCAGCAACAATAGTGGGAAACGTTGGATAATTTGCATAAGGGGCATACCCCACACATCCTTGCACTTTCACAAATTTTAACCTTATTCTTAATCCTTAGGAAAAGTGGCAATCTTGTTTTGTATAAATGAAAAATATTAAGAGTCATTCTCTGTAAGGACCACAGATGCCGTTCAAACGAATACCACAGATTTTAATAAAACATATATGAAAAAATTATGAATGTGTATGAGATCAATTAGGTATATTTAAAATTTTGAGATGTGACCTATCCTCCAGGTTATGGCCCCCTAACACATTATGTGGCTACCCCCATGTTTGAAAAGGTAAGTTTTATCCTACTTTGACATAAAAAATTCAAAATAAGTAATGCACTATGGTTAGATTAAGTGCATTAAATTGTGAAAACAAGGTGTGAAGTAAAGATAAAAAATTATTTTGCTTCATCACTAACTCCCCTTTTTTTTTAAAAGAAATTTAATTTCCTCCTATTTTTAACCCTTAACCAACACGCTAAATAACCATACTTTCAGTGCCATTTTATAAAAAATCCCAAGATAGGTTTATAAAATATAACAATATTTTGAAAGCAAACATACTTGATTATTTATTCATAATTATTCTGGACGTGTGTTTTTTGCTTTAAAAAAATAAAATGCATTTGAAAATTTTAAAAAACTAGCATTTCACAAAAATATTATCTCCCTTTGTAGAACTCTCTAGTTCCGACAGTGAAGGAAGGTAAAAACAAAAGTATTTGTAAGCATGACGTTTTGCCGGTTTGGAGTTCCTTTTCACAAACGATGTGTTTTACTGATATTTTTATACAAAACTGCTTAGATTATACAGTATAGCTTCCTTGGCAGATGTGATATTATTTATTCTGAAGACATTCAACAACTCGTGAGTTTTAGCAATGGCCATGTATTGTCTAAAGTAGGCCGTATGCCATGTGTTACACTTGCTAATTATTTAGTAAATACTGTTAATACAGTGAATGACTATCGAATGTGGACGTTATTTTAAATTTTATTCAAAATAAAATACAAAGAGGTGAAGAAGGAAGTTTTGTCAAATTCCAAATCTTCTAAGTTCACACCTGCATATTGAAAACACCAGAGGAGATGGACCAAGAATTCCCCTCCAAACAGAACATGTGAAAATTTGAAAGCAGGTCATTTGATTGGTCAAGCTGGTGCAACGCTACCAGTGTTATACACCATGCATGTACACGTAAGGAACTACAATTTCTGATGCACAATATAATAAAAATTTGTTCGTAGAGTTATGAGTAGATGAAATTATTGAAAAAGAATTAAATTGAAATGAATGTAAAAAGGTACAGTCCAAAGACTATACTAAACTAACTAAAGCATTTCTATCTACATGTGTAGGTCTTAGAAGTGGGTAAAATAGCTATTTTGGGTAGCTTTAACCTACATACATGTACATTGTAGCTATTAATAGCTATGTAAGAATAAGAAATAATCTTTGGACTTGACCTTGTAAATTTCATTTTCCTTGTTCATCTTGAACACTCTATAATGATGTATGCATTTAAAGTTTAACAAGATATTAATTAAAAAGTTTCTCCAATTTGAATTATTGTACACAGTTATTTATTTTAGACCTGTCAACATAAAAAACTAAATAAAAAGTACCGTTAAATATGTGGTGAATGTCAAAAAAAAAATTAACAACTCATTTTTATATAATTGTGCTTTAATTAGTACCTGTAAGAAATTGAATTATTTTTATGAAAATATACAATTTATTGTAGCATGCTGCTGTGTGATCAAGTGAGGGGCATCACAAGGAAGGGGAAGATATTTAGATCATTCATGGAGCCTTCAACATCGTATTAAAACCAAATTATAAAGAGGTATAGTGTCCATGTACTATAATTTTGACCCAATAGCCTTGACTTCTATATCTTTCAAGAAATTAGACATTGGTAATAAATTTTGAAGGATAGAGGATACAGCTTTCATGTTCCATATATACATTAACTACTATTATTGACCCACTTTTCAAGGCATGTAAACGTTCTGTGATGTTCCAATTTCTACCCATCTGAAATCATCCTAATTATTCTATACAAATGTTTTTTACTTGAAATTCAATTTTTGTGCAACTTTGAATAAGAAATTAAAAAAAAACTACACTGTAAAACTTATTCATTTTATTCATTAAAACATGACCCAAGTTGTTATTTTCAAAAATTTTGACAAGAGTTTCTACCACTTTCCTTAAGAAACCTCTCTACACTGAACACTAAAGAGTTACGATTCTGTTCTATTTATCTGCCATTAGATTTAAATGCCAATAAATATACATTTACACTATATTACTCAGTTTATAATCAAATCAAGTATTCTTAACATTTTAAAAGGGCAAGATAGTTTAAATTCTAAATTATAAACATGTTGTTTACATGTATCTTCTCCATAGAAGTAAATAGCAATTATTTCTACTGATACTGTGTTTGAACATTTTTTTCCTGGGGTTAAATGCCATGTATCATGTATTGAAAATGAAATAGAGAAGCTTATTATTTACATCTTTATTCAATATAATTTTCGCAAAGTCCAAAAATCATTTTACACTGGTTTAGAGAGGATGTATGACCTATTACATGTACAAGTGTAACTGTTTTCATGATCCAATTGGTACCTATAATCATTTTTAGCTCTACTGGTCAAAGACCAGAAGAGCTTATGCGATAGTAATGTGTCCATCGTCTGTTTAGCTGTCTGTATGTCTGTCCGTCTGTAAACAGTTTTTCAAAATGCTACTCCTCCTACAGTTTTGGTCTGATTTAAATATAACTTGGCACACAAGTAAACTACACTAAGATAAATAATTCTATGTATCTGTTTTTGTCATTATTCTATTGATTGCTTTTGTAAATGTCCCAACTGCTAGTTTTCTCTTTCTTTATTATAAGTACAAACCAGTAGAGCTACAGTCTTGACAGAGATTTCTGGTTAACTTAAGTCTTGTATTATCTACCTGGTAAATATAAATACTTGTATTGTCTATTACAGAACTCAAGAAGCCAGAGTTTTACATTTAGTCATGACCAGTCATGACATTCAGCAAATGAATGAGTATCTGATGAAAATTAGTGAGAGTTTTCAGAGAATGGGAGATACCGTCGGGACACCTTCACTAAGTCTGCTAAATTATACTACAACAATATAATGACAAACATTGCTGTTATTCTCCCAAAGAACTTCAAAGAAATAGTGAAGTCTTACAGTATCTGAAGAAAATCCTAGTCTTGCCTAGTATTATACCTGAGGGAAGTTTTGACCACTTATCCTGAAGTTATTCATGCATATTAACATGGGTCCACTATGCACTACATGTACTATGAATATGCTTCAAATAATTAAAAAAAAATTTAATAATGTACATTCTTAAATAAAAGATAAAAAGTGTATAAACAGTAGTCTCATTGCATGTAAAATGATAATTCCATCCTTTGTTACAATTATTGAATTTTTATAAAATTGACAAAAAAATTAAAGAAATCTATGTCAAAAGTGTCTATTACTATTTTCAAGACTTAAGGATAACGTTCACTTGGATGACAAAAATATTAACTGATAAAAGTGAAAAACCACCTATTGTACATCTATGTAATTATTCACTTAAGTATGTCATTGCCCTACTATTCCTGCTAATGGCTCTTGGGTATTTCATAGAAAATATATAATTATTTTTCACAATATGACCAAACTTTGCCTCCCCCCTAATATTTTGCCAATAATAAACATAGCTACTCTATGCTTGTGCCCCCTCAGAAAATACGTCTAATGATCTTTTGTCCTTATTTTGCTTTCTAGAAATTTTTGGTAGTTTTCACTGTGAATGTATGGTTGTGCCCCCCCCCCCTCTTCCAACCGAAATTGCCTCTTACGAGCCTGCAATCAAGTTGAAAATCTGAATGACAGGAACTCTTATTACTTACATGTATGGCCTTATTTTACTTTAGTTGTCCTTATTCTGCTGGTATTATAATTTTATGAGCTCAGTAATCAAATTATTTAGATAAGTTGCTGTGAATGGTTTGTGTTCAACAATATACATACATATTTTTGAAATTCTTCATTGTGTATCAATCAATTACAAGTATATGAAACAATGTGTGAGCTTTAATATAAATTGATAATTGAAAAGTTATTTTAAAAAAATAATTAGCCCGAACTTTCTCTGCACACCATAATCTTTTATATTTCCTTTGAAAAAAAAAAAAATAAATAATAATCTTTTAATTTTCAGATTTATTTTCATTTATCAATTGTTTATTTAGTCCATTTAAACCATTTTGGATTAAACATGTTGTACTTTATAGCATTCTGTTTCTGTAATCAGAAATCCTGACTTAAGGTCATCCAGTCAATTCCTGAAAATGTGGAGAAGCAATTATACTACATGTATATATTCTTCAGTTAACTTTGAAGTTTTGACCTTAGCCTTAGCCTTACATTGTGATAGAGTCAATAAATTAACTTTTCATCGACTCTTTCTTTTCAGCCAAATTTGTAACAAATACGTTTAATAGCTGAAGAAGATAAAATTTGAGTCATAGAACGGGTGTCATTAATCCCCAGCCTTTTCCTCATTAAAAAAAAAGGGGGGGGGGGGTAAAATGAAATATCTGTGTATTACTTTTATATCTTCAATATATATACATTTCATTTAAAGAATTGATTAGTAGCATGATTAATATACACGTCAGTATTGTTAAAATTTAGCCACAAAAGTGATTTTGAACCGATAAAAACATGAAATGAAAAAAAAAAATCCCATGAGCCCTGTTAACCACTGCTATGTTGCTATCCGCCCCTAAAATGATAATTTTCATTCATTTTTATCATTTAATTCTCTGTTAAGGTTGTTTTACATTAAAAATGACCTTAAAAGAGAAAAAAAAAACCCTACAAAATATACCATATACAATGTATAACGCAGTTTTCCAATCCATATCTGAGGAAATTCGGTATTATGGGTTATTTTCATTTTGATATTTCCCGAGTTATCTGAAAAACACATGTTTGGAATCTATATGAAATGAAAGACTATAGTATAGATATTTGGAATAAACAAGAAGTTTAAAAAACCTATCTTGGAATTTAAAGATAAATGTAATTGAAATAGAGGGTAAAATGGATTTTTCTGCAGTTTGAAAAAATCATGAAATTTGATATTTTTAGCCTTCTATCAGCTTGAAACGCCTCAGGCAAAAGATTTAATTCTTAATTATTTTAATTATATAAGAATGCATTGAATAAATTATATAATTGAAAGTGGTCATATTTTTCGTGTTTAAAGGAAATATTGAGGTTAAAAATGCTATATTTCATGAAATAGAACCTGTCAAAATGGCCATATTTGTGTTAGTTACGGTTGCCATGGCAACGGACACCCTGAAACATGAACTAAGGTGGTTTTCTCAGTTAGACACCTGAGTACACTCTAAATACAAAAAATTACGTATTTCGGAGACATTCGTTTTTACGGCCTCCTTGGATTCTTTGGTTTTTACAGAGAATGACTCTTAATACTATAATCCAGAAAATTCAGAGTTGACATATTCGAAAGCAAAACAAACACACAGTATATTGTCAGTCCGTGCAGTTGTGGTAAGCAGACTGTGACAATTGAACGCACCCGGTGAATTGTAAACATAAACAATAACAGAACTTGTTTCCTGTTTACAAAAACTGTGTTCATAACACGAGTGTGCCCGATTTGCTAAACTCTGTACGCAACTCTTAGTTCGGATTGACGATACTTGTGAAGGAGTTTTGCTTTCTAACATTTCTACTCTGAATAAAATTATTTTTCGGGATAAATATTTTAATACTTTTCATCAATACACAACAAGATTGCCACTTTTCCTAAGGATTAAGGATAAGGTTAAAATTTGTGAAAGTGCAAGGATGTGTCAATCAAACCCGCCAAAAAATTTGAAGTTTTAATAACTTTTAAATGAAATAAGATTTTTAATTAATTTTTGTGTGAAATGCTATTGAAATATATAAGTCATAATATTATAGAGAAAATATTGACTTCAAATCTGTGTCCAAGTACCTTTAAACTTTGTCATGTCATGAGCACCTTTTCCTGGGAATCACTATTTCACAAACACATCTCTTTTCAACTATTTTTCTATGAAATGAAATCTCAGGACCTATATAAATATTTACAAATTTAAACGACAAATAAAATTTTTATCTTTAGCGCCTGCGCCCCATGCGGATTTATCAGTACATTTAAAATTATATATTTATATTTGCAAATGTTTGCAAAAAAATCTTTTATGGATTAAAAACTTAAATATTTTACTACTTAAGTTTTTTATCCATAAAAGATTTTTTTTCAAAACTGAATGAGTTAAACACATTGATAAAATATGACGTCACAAGTACCGTACTACTTGTAATAAATCAATCCCATACGTAAATATAAGTTATAAAAGTATCCTTATAATTAGGGAATAATGATATCTAATTTCTTAATAATAAGTTACAGAATGTCGTCATTCGTGACGTTATGTGGGCGTTATTTAGACATTTAACAAAATATGCATTGTGACGTTATATAATCACAACTGAATAAGGCTCAGAGATAGAGATTTACAGTTCATCTGATAGAAGTTTATCACCTATTATTTATGTACTGTAATTGAGACATTCTAAATATGTAAAATGTACATAATGAAATAATGTGATACATGCATAATTTTTTTTAGCAGTTTAGTTTTGGTTTAAACAGATTTTTAGGAAACTGTTTTTTTTTTCTCTTTTACTTTGTAAAAAGAAAATATATAAACTTAAGATTCCCTTTGCCACAGTATCCGAATCGCTCACTACATGGCGTATTTCGTATGGTCGGGTCCTTTATCTGTTGCTCATGTATGCGAACACGGTCGGCTAATTTGGCTCCTGTTTGTCCTATATTTTTCATAAGGGTCTCCTAGTTTAACAATTTATAAGTATCTCTTTGGTTGTTATTCAACAACATAGAGGTGAAAGCAATATATTAGAATATTAACAATACATGTGTATCTTAGGACGAAATGTAGACTTCTACTTGGGCATCTTTTATGTCAAATAAATAAGGAAAGACTTTTTCTTGGGTAACATTACTTAATGTTGTTCATTTAATTAAGTCTAAAAACTGTTTGAAGAAATATTTTTGTGATTTTTTTACATTCTCTTAATAAGTATTCCTAAAATGACCGAAAATGACTAGTTGCAGTATATAATAACAATTCCAAGTTTCACAGGCGACACTCCATTTAATAAGAAGTAAACCTGCCATTAGCTTTTGATTGATTGATAAGCACGTGCTAATTTATCAAATGGAAAAGTTTAAGAATTTTGTGACAAAGACTTTACTGACATAGAATCTACCTTAAATGAAAAAAAAACAAACATTTTAAATAATTTTAGCCAAACGTTTTATATATTTCAAAATAATCATACTCCCATAGAGCTATTAATGACATCTGTGAATTATCAAAGTACCCGTTATCGCCTGTGGCTGTGTGCTCGATTATACTGTTACTGTAATTACCGTAGCCAAATTGCCTAACACACAGCTATAATCACCTATATTGGTCCTTTTTTGATAGAAATAATAATTTGTGTTTAATGAACACCGTTTTAAAAGTATATTAAGTAAATAATATACGTCTATCGATCCTAACCAATTGCGTCTTTTTCTTTAAAAAAAAAGTTTTATCTATTTTTTTTCTTCTAATCATTACACAATTGCATTTCAGATTACAACCCCTTAATAAAAGCTGTGTACTAACCATTTGAATTAATTGGAATTTTTATATTAATTATTTTTAAAAAAAACATTGAGAGATAAATTTACAACAAGAAATTGATTTTGTTTGGCTTGATGTTTGTTACAGGCATTGAAAAGTGAAAAAAAAAAATCGATGATGGGGTTCATCAAGGCTTTACTAGTCTCAATAAAATTACAATCTTATTTGGGTTATCGATCAGAAAAAAATGTTCACGTACATTTATATATAATTTACATTTGCAAATATATTTCTTAGGTGAACCTATTGAAGTGAAAATGTGTTTAATTCTGCGTTAATTTCATTTGGGGGTCAGAGGTCATAGCGCGACCGAATCACAGAGCGAGGTGATATTTTGTATACATATTTCTGTCACAGTGCAACTTGCTTTGGAATATTTCTTAGTTAATAACGATGAAAAGGATAAAATGTTCACAATATGGATTTTTCATTTACGAGATGTACAATAAATTTGTAGTAGTGTGTATAATATGCGTATATAATAAATAAATGTTTTAAATTTAATGTAAATAAATTAAACTACCAGAATAGATAAAAGTATAAAAAGCTTGATCTGCTCCTTTATATCCTTAGCCCTTTACCTGTACACCTGTATATAGATAATTAGTTACCTTAGGGCAGTTCAAAGGTTTTGGAGTGTTATTGGTTCTTATTGGTAGTTTGGTTGTCAAGTTGATTTTCATTGGTTTTATTCTTATGGTCATTGGTTTTACCGCCAA